TGGAATAGTATTCATCCATAAAAAGGAATTAAATTCTGATATGTGTTACAACATGGATGAGTCTTGAAAACATAATGCTAAGTGAAATAAGCCCAGAAACAAAAGGACAAGTACCTTATGATTCCACTTATATGAGGTATTTGGAGTAGGCAAATTCATACAGACAGAAAGTAGAATAGTGGTTATGAGGGGCTGGGGGGAAGGGGAAGTGGGATATTGATCAGTGAGTACAGAGTTTCTGTTTGGGGTGATGAAAATGTCTTGCAAATAGATAGTGGCAATGGTTACACAACATTGTGAATATACTCAACGCCATTGAATCATACGCTTAAAAATGGTTAAAATGGTAAATTTTATGTTATGTATATTTTATGGCAATTTTTTAAAAAGAAAAAAATGGCATTTTCCATAGTAATTACTCAATAAATATTAGCTGTTATAAGTCAGACCCTAAGCTAAGACAGAGAATACAAAGATAAATGAGACAGAATTTCTGCCTTCTGTGAGATTAAACATGAGGGAAATGAGGCTTAGAGAGGCGAAATGACAAAACTGAGACTGAATTCAGATTTTTTCCATAGAAATCAGTAGTCTTTTTATGATACCAAATTATTCAGTTAGTATAGACTAACAAGCATCTTTGACCTTCATCAGTAATTGCTTCAAGTCATGTTCATTTTTGGCAAGCAGGGTTGTGTCAGCTGCGTATCACAGGTTGTTTATGAGTTTTCCTCCAATTCTGATGCCGTGTCCTTCTTTGTCTAGTCCAGTTTCTCGAATTATTTGTTCAGCATACAGATTGAATAAGGTAAAAGGATACCACCTTGCTTTCAGTATGGATTATACCTGAACTTGAAGAAACCGAAAATCCTTACAACTGTATCTATAAACGATATCATGATGAATGGAGAAGAAATTGAAGTTGTCAATGATTTCATCCTACTTGGATCAATAATCAATGTCCATGGATGCAGCAGTCAAGAAATCAAGCAACATCTTGTCTGGGCAAATCTTCTGCAAAAGACGTCTTTAAAATTTTAAAAATCAAAGACATCAGCTTGATGACTAAGGTGCGCCTGACCCAAGCCATGGTGTTTTCAGTCGCCTCATATGCATGCGAAAACTGGATAATGAAAAAGGAAGACAGAAGAAAAACTGATACGTTCAAACTGTGAAGAATACTGAATATACCATGGACTGCCAAAAGAGTGAACAAATCAGTCTTAGAAGAAATAGAAGCAGGATGTTCCTTTGAAGCAAGGATGGTGAGACTTTGACTTGCTTACTTTAGACATGTCATCAGGAAAGACCAGTTGCTAGAAAAGGACATCATGTTTGGTAAAGTAGAGGGCCACTGAGAATGAAGGCAACCATCAATGAGACATACTGATACAATAGCTGCAACAATGCCTTCAAACTTACCAATGCCCATGGATATGGTACAGGAATGGGCACCATTTCATTCTGTTATACACAAGGTTGCCATAAGTCAAAGCCAACTTGATGGCAACTAATAACAACAACAATAAGCAGTGGTTAATTAGGAACTAAGCAGTTAAGATTTTAAAACAGTGGAAGAAGAAGTTTGACTTAAGGCAAAAGCAAATGACTGTATACCAGTAAACACCAGTATTATTCATTTGCTCAGTATATATTTATTGAGGACCTGCTATACGTCATCCACTATGGCAGACACCATAGAAAGGATGCTAAGGTAAATCAGGTATATATTCTACCTCAAGGAGATCTCCTAGTGTGGTGCAGTGAATTACTTAATATGGCCCTTCTAGCCACGCGTGGTCTTCTAAGTCCCACAAAATGGTTTGGTAGGACTATGCAAATAAGGTATGTGTGGTCCCCCAACAGGATTAGACAACTTACTGCTAATGCAAATAAGAGTGTACGGCACCCTAACGAGGAGATTGGTCATTTTTGACATGCCACTAGGCTTAAAATGAACCATCCCAGAGGCAAGAGAGGGGACCTCACTACCACCAAGAAGAAGAGCCGGGAGCAGAGTGCATCCTTTGGACCTGGGGTCCCTGCACTGAGAATCTCCTAGACCCAGGAGACAGAGCTGTAACACCAGAGATGGCTCAAGAAGGTGAGAAGCAGTGACAGAGAAACAATGGTGGCAGAACCAGGACACCCACACAAGATGGCGTGGTGGGCTTCCCGGCCTACAGAGCAAGGTGGCTACAACAGGCAAGCCGACCCATGGAGCAAGAGAGCTGAGTGCCTTTGGGCGGGAGGCTCCGTGGCAGAGTGGGGTGCCTCTGGGCACTTGTCTGCGGATCTAGATTTGCCAACCCCAGAGTGAGAGAGCTTAGCACCTTCGGACCAAGGCTTACAGGTGGAGTGGGGTGCCTCACAGCACTTACTGGCGGAGCTGAAGAGCTCTGTAACACTTGCCCAAACAGGGCAGAGGCCAGAGAGCCAGGCCGAGGGCCAAGAGAGGGAGCCTGTCCTGAGGGGGCCAGGAGGAGCCTGTCCTCAGGAGGCTGAGAGGAGTCCTAAACGACGGAGAGGAGACAGAGGGGACCGTCCTGCATTGAAGAAGGGAGATTTTGCCTACATGCTTCCTGATCCCAATCCTGAGTTGTAACCTGTTTGTTATTGTTGTTGTTAGGTGCCGTCGAGTCGGTTCCTACTCATAGCGACCCTGTGTACGACAGAACGAAACACTGCCTGGTCCTGTGCCATCCTCACAATCTTTGTAATGCTTGAGCCAATTGTTGCAGCCACTGTGTCAGTCCGTCTTGTTTAGGGTCTTCCTCTTTTTCGCTGACCCTCTTATTTCCCTAATAAACTCCATAACTGTGAGTATGGTCTGTGAATTCTGTGTGCCCATTCCAATGAATTATCGAACCCAGCAGAGAAGTAGAGTGCCACGGGAAGGATGGCTGGTATCAGAATTGGTTAAAAGGTTGGAGGGTGGAGGTATGTTTGACCTCCACCTCGTAGGAATCAGCCTTGAGCTGATATTGGTGGTGATTCTTCCCTCTTGTGAAGTTAAAGGAGGTCCGACTCCATGCTGCCATTTTTACACCCAGTAAGGAAAATAAAACACAAGGAGTGTAGTAAAGGCCAGAAGCTAACTACTGTAAAGTTTGAAAATACAGTTAATTACAACTTGGAGAATCAGGGAAAGCTTTCTGGAGAAGATGGCTTTGAACTGTGCCTTAAAGGACAGATAAGATTTGGACATGTGGTCATGGGTGGAAAGGGCATTTCAGGCAGAGGAAATAGCCTATGCAAAAGCATAGAAATGGAGAAGCGGAAGGCATGTTCAGGGAAGAGCAAATAATTGAGTTTTAATAAAATACAGGGTATGTAAAGAGCAATAACAGGAAGAAATGGAAAGATGGGCTGAGACTAGGCACTATTAAATAGTCATTTCAATTTTTTTTTTCAGGATTCTATTCGTGTGGTCTTGGGAAACTTGGACAATCTGCAGCCATTCACTACAGAACACTTCATTGTATTTCCCTGTATCCTTTCTTTCCTGGCTGGAAATGAGCTACAGCTCGCACTGTAGATTCAAATGGAAGCAGCAAAACAGTGGGCAGTTGGAAGGGTAAGTCAGGGAAAGGAGAGGGCTTCTCATCCCTAAAATGGTACTCACAGATGAGTACTTGCTTCTTTTCTCACTCCTTAGCACCATTTTCCAGATAAAAGCAAATGGGAGAGAGTTTCCCACCTGAAATTCAAACATGGGGAAATTGTCTTGGCCCCCTACCCATTTGTTTTCACTCTGTATGTGGAGATGAAATGGTTTCATGAAAACTCGTCACCTGGTAAGTAGATGAAAGTGGTGGGTGGTAGAGAAGAAAAGGTGGAAGGTTGTCTGTGGGTTAGCCGTGCAAGCTGAGTACAACAAAATGGTTGGCCAAACTGGGCCCCAACCCTGCACAGTATAGAGGGCAAGATCATGTGCTGTAAGCCAGACTGTCTCATGAAAATCATGGTGCCTTTATCACTTAAGAGCTGTATGACCTTAGATAAATAATCTTTTTGTGCCTCCTTTGTAAAATGGTGAAGAAGAAGAATAGTACCTATCTCACTGAGTTGTTAAAAGGATTAAGTATATAAGTACTGGTAGATAAAAAGTACAAAGTCTGACCAAAGCAATAACTCAGCAAAAGATAACTATTATATAAATACTTCCTCCCATTTTAGAGTATTCAGTGACCTTCACCTTAGTGGCATCTTACAGATATCTCCTTATTTTAAATCTCCTTGAGCCATGGCTGTTTTTACTCATAGAGGAACAAGTGGACACCTACCAGTTTGATTTGAAAAAGGCTTTGCCTTAAAATGCCTCTCCAATTCATTTGTCACTAATGCATGAAGTTCTACTTTTTTCCTTTGGTGGTAGGGATAATCCCCCTTTTCAGTGGCATATTGTTAGAGCTTAGTGTGAATCAGACCCTTTTCAGCTTATAGATGACGATAGTTCTGAAACAGGGAAGAGAGTATGAAGACATTGTCTTCTCTAGGAGACATTCTAGGAGAAAAAGTACCCAGAAGGGAGAAAGGCACACAGGGCAGTTTGTCCAGGGCCAGTTCAGAGAATAAGTAGTGGCCAGAAATCCAGGTGAAACAGAGTCTTGACCCATTAAGATACTCAAACTTCCTGTTGCAGGTAAACCAGTAAATGACAGTCCTCTTGGATTGGTAAGTTTGCCTTTTCTGTACAAAACGAAAATTGCCTTTATTACCTCCTGTTGTACAAAAAGCCTTGTTTATGTCTCCTCCTCTGACTTTGCCCCTTGGTTGCTGCCCAGATCCATTCAGAATTGTAGACATGAGACCAACTGTCCCCTTGGCTAGATTTCTGAGACTGTGTGTCTAACAGAATGTCTCTCCTTACTTGCAAAGCTGGTGTTAAAAGTTGACTTTGGCAATTTAAAGATGGGGAGTTCTCTTCACTTTGCCCTCATGAGCTGTGAGCAGCTTTAGAAAAGGAGGCGTCACAGGAGTCTGGTTTCTCTCTGAAGGTATTAGCTGAGAAGAAATCAGCAGAAACCATGATGAGGAAACGAAGACACACGGAAGTGCCCAGCTCCCCCAGGAAGTCAGGGCCGGACAGGTCAGTGGTATTGGGAAAGAGGCGAAATCCTGCATCCTGGTTAGGCTTTGCCAGCTACTCCTGCTGGTTGTTCTGCCCTTGGGCCAGTCAGTTTCGCTCTCAGAGCTTCACTGGTACCTGCCTATTTCCATGGGTGGACTCAGGAAAGGAAGCTAGTTGATATTTGCAATATAATTTGAACACAGTCCTTCTTCAGCAAAGCAGGATTCCTCAGGATGAAGGCTGAGAGGAAATACAATCAGATCTGTACAGCTGAATTCCTGGCATGTTCAATGAACACCTACTATGGTTGTTGTTATTGTTGTTAGGTGTGTCGAGTCAGTTCCAACTCATAGCGACCCTGTGTACAACAGAACGAAACACTGCCTGGTCTTGCGCCATCCTCACAATCGTTGCTTGTTTGAGCCCGTTGTTGCGCCACCGTGTCAGTCCATCTCGTTAAGGATCTTCCTCTTTTTCACTGACCCTCTACTTCACCAAGCATGATGGCCTTCTCCAGGGGCTGGTCCCTCCTGATAACGTGTCCAGAATATGTGAGATGTGATACTATCAGAAGGCACAAATTTATGTAGTCCCAGAATATTACAAACAACATGGGGAAACCCTCAAAAGAGTGAGAATAAATAAAATAGAGTTCTGTTTTACCCGGTGATCAGTAAGCTTCTGGAGTTCTGCCTTAAGAGGTAGTCTGGGGTCAAACGTAAATGTTTGCAAGAGGGTGTCTATCAGTTATTGAGTGAGGTGCCACACTATTGGAGGAATGTCGAGCGCATCCCTAACATGTTGAGGTTGCTATTGTGGAAGTTACTTGCATTCTCCTTTTGATTCTGTCAGGAACAGATGAGTCAAGAAGACAATTCAGTTGTTTCCAGTAGCATCCCTGAGAGCTGCTGCTGTGATCCAAGATGTGGTTTGCTCCCAGGCCCAAAGTGCATTCACCCCAGGTTCACAGAGAGCAGCTGCTCTTTTTCCTGGGCCTGTGTGGGCCTTAGATGTAGCAGTGAGGGCAGACCATGAGTGAGCTAAGCCCTGGACCCTCCACATGCATGTGTCAGTGAGAGTGGAAGCCGAGTGGAATGTGAGGGCACTTGGAGGTGTGAAGCTTTGCTCTAGTCTGCATGACAGAATTTTCCATGGAGATGAGGCCTCAGATCTTCCCTTTCTCTGGGTTCTGAGGCACAATCAAGTACTTCAAAACCTGGTGCTTGCTGTCACTCACATTTTCCCTTCCTCAACCTTCAGGTCCCTGAGTGTCTCAAATTGGAATTTTACTGTGAATTAAAGCAGCACCCAAAGAGAATTTGGCCACACTGTGTATTCTGCAGGCCAGGAGTGGTATAAAAATAGCCAACCTGCTGAAATATTCATTTGGGCCACGTTTGTGTGAATGTGGTGGTGTTGCTGCTGCCAATAACATTTCCTGTTCTTTTTCCCCCCATCTCAGTTCTAAGGTGGGAACTTCCAGCCAAGGCCCCAGCAAAAAGAAGCCCCCTATGGAAACCATGAGGGTAAGCACCAAATGGAAGTTTCTAAGTTCTTGGCAGTTGCTGCTCTCTTACAAGTTGGGATTCCTTTTACCAGCACATCTTGGTCCTGAGTGCAGATTGAATTGACTGAACTCGTTCTCAGGTTTCACTGGCTGCAGAATATCATTCAACTATTCCACCTTTGCCACGGCTCATCCCAAAAGTGGCTGTGTAGTATACACATCGATGAATTCTTTTGTTAAAAGATCCTCTCTGCTACTCTGCTGAAAAAGCTGCTGCTTGTACTCTGCAGTCGAGATAAGAGAATAGGTCTGTATTGAATTGAGATGGGATCTAGTATAGAATTTTCTGTCTAGAAACCATTTTGCCTTCATCTCCACTGAGGTCTAGTCTAGGAATGTCTAGTTTGTACCAATGAAATGGGCATGTATAAGCACAGGAGACTGGTAAGAAAGAAAATGTAATCACTAGAGTGGTGGCAGACTAGCCCCAAGTGGCATTTGATTTCATCTATGGGGTCTCTTCCCCACTTAGATATTCACATATCTGCTATTCCTCCATTTAAGGGCTTCTTTTTCATAAAAGTCTCTAACATAGTGCTCATTTTCTTTTCTTCTTCTCTCCAAATAGCTGTCAGCTGTTATTCATGGCTTATGGATCCTTCTTTTTTTTTTTTTTTTCTGGCCTCTCTCTGATCTCTCCAAAGTAGCTCTGACCCTACTATCCCAACACTGGCAACTCACCTCACTCCCCTTTGCGGGACCCATTAAAGTGATAAATTATTGAGCAAACATTTACACATACATTCATTCAACAAACTTTTATTGAATATCTACTATGTGCCAAGTGCTGGGGATGTCATGCTCTACCCTAAAGGCTGCAACAGTGTAAAGGCTGGGCAGATCATTACAGAGAGATGTGATACATGCAGGGATAGACGGAATCATAAAGGGAACAAAGGTACCAAGGAGAACCTCACCCTGACCAAGTGGTGTGAGGGAAGAGTTTCCAGAATAACTCAGAGTAGCTTAAAGAGCTAAGGCCAAGGGGCAAGAGAGTGTGAATGTGATGGTTTTGGTGACTGCAAGCCAGTCACCTGGAGCTCAGGGTACAGTGCTAACAAATATTACTGGAGCGGTCAGCATGGCCATGCTAAGGAATTTAAACTTGACCTAGAAGATCAGAGGAATTGACTAAAACATTTTGAAGTAGAGGAGTGAAGTGATTTTCATTTTTAAAAGATTACTCTGTCTCCTTTCTGCAAGGCCCTGTGTTGGGTGCTGAGGCACACACAAACCTATGTTTGACCTGATATCTTCTTCCCAGGAGCTTACTCTTTAGTTGGGAGAACAGTGCACCCTTAGGGACTTAGACCGCTGGCTCTATGGGCAGGGGGAGAGTTCCAGGGTTCCAGTCGTGGCTTGGCCAGCTGACCCACTGAGTGATTTTAGGCAGCTGATTGCCCTGTCCTGTCTCCCACTTTTAGAGAGGTAAAAAGACGAAATGAAAAGTACGGATGGAGTACACGAAGCTCCGGAGAACAAAGACGCTTTATACAACCAAGATAATTACTATTGAAGGAACATTTTCCTCACTCTCAATCCTTCGTACCTTCCTATTCTTAGTTTGACACATCATCTCCCTCAAGAGCAGTGCCCACAGATTCTTACTCAACATAATTACCTTTTCAACTTGATACTAGATTTAGAAAAAACTCTGAGCAAAATGCAGCCCAACCAAAAGGAACATGTTTATTGATTTTGACTCAAAGCCCAAAGACGGTCTCCATTGTAGACCCTGTTCCCAAAGAGCGGATTTCTCCTAAATTAAAGCGATCACAGTGACTCTCAGTGTAAGTCACTTGAGCTGGAAAAATTGAATTTGCTCCTGTGGTCCATTGCTTAATATTTTTTTTGCCCTTTGGGGGAAGTTTGAGTGTAGGATCACAGTCAGCGTGGCTCATGCACGTCTGAACACATTAGGAGCTTGCGCAGGGAAAGCTTAGAATACAACACGTATCTGATTAGGTCTCTTTCATAAGAGGTGCTGGGGGGAGAACGGGAAGCAAGGGCAGAACCATGCCCTCTGGTATTTCAGGTCCCAGGCTTAGAGATCCAGCCTATGGGAGGATAAAAAATGGGGAGAGCATACAGATGGCCCAGAAGTGGAATAGACTGTCATGCACATAGCCCTTTGGCCACCCACCTCTGCTTCAACTCACTTCTAGGCAGATCTGGCCGGGAACCTGCAGAGGACAACTTTGTATCGGGGTGGTTTTCCAGATGGTCCCCTCAGCCTTATTTCAGGGGCTATTTTCCTCTCGTGACTTTGCCTGAGAAATCCTCTCTCAAGATTTCAGTATAGCATAAAAGCTAAAATATCTTGTGTGGGCAGTTTTCCCTGGGAGGTAGCCACACCTCTGTCCTAGGGCCTTTGCCTTCCTGGTTCCCACTGCTAACCTCAGTAGATGCTTTTATAGGGCCACTCTTGGCAGCAAGATTTAAGACCCAAACCAGAGTTTCATTAAATTTGTAGGAATCACTCCCTCAAGCTAGAAACCAGAGCTGGACTAGGCCCCTCTAAATCCCATCTCTACCCTGCCTAGAAAGGTAAGAGGTGGTCTTCTTCCTCCCCAGAGTTCCCTTTCATTTTTATAGGAGTATGACTTGGGTGGCTGCGTGTGTGGTCTGACTTGAGAGGTTTGTGGAGAAGCTCACCTCAGAACTATCTGCCCTTCTGGCCTGCAGCTTTCGCTTATGATGAGGACTACTTCCTGGGGGCTTGCTATGCCTGTACCTCCCAGACCCACCTTGACAGTCTATGGCCCCTTGCTATAGAATTCCCAGCAAAACATCTCAAAAAACTCCCCAGGGCTGCTGGGTAGTTGGGCACTCAGGTTCTGGCTGCATGAGGGGAGTGGCCAGCTGGCAGATTCCCAAAGAAAATCCATGACCCATGTTTCTATCAGGGTGTTCACTGGAGAATGTTCTGAGCTTGGAAGCGGGTTGTAGGATGTCCCATTCAAAGTACAAAGGGAGCTGCATCAAGCAGTAGCACGAGGAGAAATAATGAGATTGCACTGCATTGTGCTGGCTTCGTACGCCATAGTCCTGTTGCTGCTGCCCCTGACTCTGGCTGTGTTGATTGTATTCTTTAGTGGCATTGTGCCTTGTATGTCATGTCCCTGTCTAGAATGCCCTGTCACACTGATCCTCTCCTCACCCCCATTATGGCAAAGCCCCATTCATCTGTGTAGGCCCCATTTAAATATCGCGTCCCTTATGAAGCCACCCTTCCCTAACCACACCTGCTGTATTAATTGCCTCCTCAGCTCCCACAGCACTTTGTGTAAACCTGTATCATAGTCTTATCACACTGTCTTGTAATATTTAGTTTATGTGTCACTTTTACCCCATAGATTATACATTCTCCAAGGTAAGGTTATTTTCCTTTATCTCCTGATTTCTGAAACCTCAATATTCTCTCCTTGGCAATAGTAGGTACTCAGTAACATGGAATGGTGACTTAAGCCCAACTTTGTTAGTTCTTGGCCCTTAGATCTCATGGTTTGGGAGGGACAGTGGTTAGGAAGCTGAAGGGGAGAAAGAAGAGCCCTACAGCAGGAAATGTAGAGCCCGCCTGGGCTGTCTAAAGCCAGGCCCCGGTGCGGACGTCAAGTCAGTTCACCAGCATGTAGCTCTCAAACCACCAAGTCGTCTGGGAGTAAAGTTTAAGACTTTTCTTGGTCTTCTTTTTTCAGAACATGGAAGGAAAAACCCAGCAGGAACAGCAGGAGACCCCAGCATTTGATGTCACTGATGTCCAGGAACAGGGTAGGTTCTAGGAAATTCCTATTCATTTTCCCTTAATAATTACCCTGTCCCCTTTTGGTGCCTGGTGAAGCAGAGCAGCACAGAGCTCTTGAGTCTGAGCACGCTCAGTGCCATGGAGGTGCCTGTGGCCTTGCTGCAGTCAGGGGGCCTGCCCTAGAGTCATAAAAGCCCCCAGCTTCCAGAAGGAGTGAAAGTGGCAGTGCGTGGCCCGCCTCTGCCTCTGATAGTGAGACTGGCGCGCCCACAGTTTGAGACTATTTCCGAGTAGGGTGGGAGTTTTACAGAGAGAGTTGGGAGGGATGTGTCTGACTTTTCTGTCTTGTTGGAGAGTCATCTCTGGGAAGTCCTCGGGCATTAGTGTTCGTTGAAAGTACAGATGGATGGTCTGCAAGGGCTGGGACTGCGTAGTGAGGTGTTGCCCTTCCAGCTTCCTGATGTTTTACCCAGCATGAGGATTCAGTATGGACTGCAGTTACCGCAGAAGCAGGGATATAAGAAAGTGAGTTCTTCAACAAATTGCTATTCCATGTGAAGACGTGCCAGCCACAATGTTCTTGAGCTATGTAAAAATCTCAAGGGCCTGACTGAAAATTCTCTGAGGTCAGAATAGCAACTTCCTGATCTGAGATGCAATTGGGAAGGTCAGAACCAACAATTCACCTGGCCCCAGACAGGCGCTGGTGTGAGGCTGCCCTTGGCGCCCGTCCCTACTACTCAGGTTTAAGCAGCCCGCAGACTAACACCTTTTCTCTGCCTGAGTGTCTTCCTTGCAGGTCCTAAGTGGGGGGACAGCCTGGCAGGGCAGATGACTCCGTCACTGCAGCAGAACAATCTGCCTCCACCTAAAGGACCCACAGAGCTGGGGACCACTGGCTTCTTTGGGTTTCTAAGGTAGGACAGACTTCTTTCCTATATCAGACAGAGGTCCGGGAGGCTCTAGCTTCAGGACTTGCCTCATTGAGTCTCTTAGGGAACTTATAATAGAGAAGAAAGCAGATTACCCACAGAGGTTTCTGTGTCCTGTCCAAGATGGACATCAGAAAGGAAGTTGGCAGCAAGGGCCCTAATGGTGACTTTAGTGAAGACTGTGTCTTAGGAATTTTTTTCACAACACACCCCCACCCCAAAGTGCCCCGCATGGGCCTGGAACACGGGATTCCCTAAGCTTGCTTGAACAGAGACCATTCATATTGCATGTGGGCCATTTGGAGGATTTGGTTGCCAAAATGTTTCCATTCTTCCCTCTGGATCTAGGTTGTGTCTTCAGAGTCCTCTTTGCAGAGAGCAGTTAGCGAATCTCTTTGTCTATCTAGAGCTCAGCCATTCCTGTGCAGTTCTGCTTTTTATCTCCCCCTCCTGAGTTTAATCTAATTTGGGTACCTTTTCAAATGCTGTTCCAGACTTGAATTTCCATTCAGTGGTTCCCCAGAGCAAAAAAGCCCCAGCTAATGAAGCACTACTGGGAACTGGGGAGAAGGGAAGGAGGCCTCGTAGAGCCTCAACTTAACTCTGCTCTCCTTCCTGCAGCACTGTCTTCCCGTTCAGCTATTTCTTCCGAAGGAACAGCCAGTGAGCCTTCCAAATGCAGCCGTGGACAGAGGGCCACCTAGCAAGCTGGTGCCCCTCCAACTCCACCCCTTCTGAGGACAACCAGTCATGGAGGACGAGGCCCCAACAGCCGAGTCCTCCTGTGGGGTTGTCCTGTCCTTTGCCCCTTTACCATCAGTGTTTTTCCCAATTTAAAACACGGAAGAAAGAACAGAACTTTAAAAAACGCTCTAGTCTGGGAATTTTACTGCCATGAGGGCTAGTTTAAGTCTTTTGTCTCCTGCACTTAGGATCCTGATGACATTAAATTATTTATGAAGAGTTATTGATTGAATTTAGTGAAGTAGAAAGAGTAAGAGAGAGCAAATTCACCCCTGAAGATACAGGGAACCTCGGCAGGAAGCCTCTTCTAGGTCTCCCGGGGTGGGCAGGGCCAGTCCCTGACCTCCTACTGTAGACTTCCCCGCTGAGGGGAGGGGAATGGGGTCTTGCAAGACTCACTGTCCTGAGCCCTGCTGACCCTTGAGAAATCCATCCCTGCCTCACTTCACCCCAAAGTGACCCCAGAGTGACCCCTCTCAGTAGGTAAAATGCTTCCCACCTATCCCTCAGGCTGTTTGACAGCACTGGAAAGCAGTTTAGGGTCCAGCTTCTGGAGAAGACCAGGACATCTGAGCTTTGTCTTCATGTAACTGGGGGGCTCATCTGGGACAGGCAGATTAGACTCGTGTGGCCACAGAGAACCAAAACGAGATGGAAATTTAGGAGAACCAATTTTAGCTCAGAAAAATGGAATCACTTTTTAAAAAAACATTCTTTTGTTGTTTTTGCGAACACATACAGCAAAACCTGCACCAGTTCACCAGTTTCTCCATGTACAATCCAGTGACAGCGATCACAGTCTTTGGTTGCGCGACCATTCTCACCCTCCTTTTCTGGGTTGTCTCATTAACATAGGAGTGACTTTAATTGTGAGAGATGTGCGGTATCAGGATGGGCTACCTTGTGAGGTGAGGAGCCCTTATCACCAGAAGTCTGTAAACTGAGCTGGGAGCCGTCAGGATGCTGGCGGGATCCCAGGATGAGTGGGAGGCTGTGGGCAGGTTCTGAGGCCACTCTGAGCCCCTAGATCTGGGGCCTTTCCCTTTGGTGGGGAAAAGAGGTGGGCTGCAGCATGTGGGGACACAGGACTGTGGGGAGGTCCGTGGGGGTGAGGATTTGAGGATTAGGGACAATGGGAACATCAACCCCAAACCAAATCCATTGCTCCAGCAGAGTGGCTGGTGGGTTCGAACCGCCCACCTTTCAGTTAGCAGCCAAGCGCTTAACCACTGTGCCACCAGGGCTCCTCGTGGGAACACCAACTCCTCCCAAATGCTGCTGACATTCTTTGCCCCGTTGACCCAAACACGGCCTGCTTTACAAAGCTGCTGGAAGGCACAGCTCCACAATCAGGCAGGCGGAGCGCCCACCTTGACCCTGACCAGCTTACGTGAAGCCTTGGGGAAGTCGCTTTCCTCGCTGGATCTTGCTTTCTCACCTGGAACGTGACAGAGTGGGAGTTGGTGGACTCTGAAGTGCCTTCCACCTCTGGCAGGCTCTGCCCCTTCTGAGCAGGTCAGGGAGGCAGTAGCCCAGAGTCACCACAGGCTCCCCAGGACTTCTGCTCCTCCCTGCCCCTCTAGCTTCTGCTCACCAGGGAGCTTTTCCCAATTTTCCGCATCCTTGCCCCTAGCGTAATTTAGCACCACAGATGAACGGCAGGACATCTGTATTGGAAATCAGCCCTGACACTAAATAGCTGTGTGACTTTTAGTAACTTCCCTTCTCTGAGCCTTAGTTCCCTCACCTGTGACACAGGAGCCAGACAAAACAATCGGATTTACTGGGATTGACAGCTCTGGACTCTTTCTGGAGTCAGGTCCCATTATGCCAGGGACTAGGAGGACCCTCCAGCTTAGAGCCCCTTTGTAGCTGACACACAGGATGAGAACTCACCCAGCTGACACTGTAAAAGTGAAACACTGAAACGGCTTTGGGGACCCCTCTCCACCTCCCCAAGCCTGCCACCAGGCAAGCCTCAGGAGACTCCACTAGCATGATGCCCTGTGTCCATAAGGGTCTCCTTCCCCAGTCCCTTTCCTCTTTGGGGCTGCGTTTGTAGTTGGTAGATGGGGGCGGCGAGGCCCTGAACAGGGAAGCATCCTGCCCAAGGCCGCGTAGCAGAGGACCCGGCTGGCCCCAGCTCATCCCAGGGTCTTGACCTCTCCTTCTCCACGCCTGACCTCAGGCAGCCAGCCACCTGGACCACACCTCAGAGAAGGCCAGGCTCTCCCCGGTGGGACTGCTCTGGAGCCTCTGGCTGGGGAGGCAGGCAAAGTGAAAGCTGAGCTCCACGAGGGCGTGGCTCCCCAACGCTCCAAGTAAAAAACCCAGAGGGGCGCCAGCACCAGTCTGGAGACCAGCAGGAGGCACAGAGAGACACGGCCACTCTGGTCCTACCTCGGAAGGGTGAGCAAGGCAGGAGGAGCTGGGGAGGCCGGGACTGCGATCCGCTGGAGGGAGGGAGATGCTGGTGCTGCAGCGTGTGACGACAGTTCCGAGGGAGAATCATTGCACAGTGGGTGACCCAGCCACACTGGTGACACCACAGGCAGACACACACACACCCACAGGTAGACACAGGAAAGAGCCGCGCACAGGCGTGCCTCGCCAGCCCTTGCACCCTCACCTGGAGCATGCTGCGTTAAAAGTCCCCACTCCCATCTGCACACCCAGGTACAGGCAGATCTCCCCACTGTGCTGCAGGAGCCATGGCATCCCCCCAAACCCTGCTCCTCTGCCTGCTGGTCCTGGTGGTCACTGAAGGCTGGGCTCGGGCGGCCTCCATCCCAGGCTGCTACCTGCACCGTGAGTAACCTGGGACCAGAGAGCTAGGAGGAGCGGGGGTTCTGGTGGGAGGAAGGAGCTGGTGGCCTGGACCATGGTGCGGGCAGCGCCCTATTCAGAGCCTCACGGGGGCACAGACCACAGCTGGGCGCGCCTCTCCTTCTAGCCTTCAACGTGACAGTGCGAAGTGACCGCCAAGGCACCTGCCAGGGCTCCCATGTGGCGCAGGCCTGTGTGGGCCACTGTGAGTCCAGTGCCTTCCCCTCCCGGCACTCGGTGCTGGTGGCCAGTGGCTACCGCCACAATATCACCTCCGTCTCGCAGTGCTGCACCATCAGCAGCCTGAAGAAGGTGAGGAGGCCTGGGCCCAGGGGGCTATGCTGGGGCGTCGGGGGAGGAGAGGAGGCAGGGCCCGAGATGCCCCAGGAGGGGACTGGCAGGGCCCGAGATGCCCCAGGAGGGGACTGGCAGGGCCCGAGATGCCCCAGGAGGGGACTGGAAGGCGGCCTCCCTCCCCACAGGTGAAGGTGCAGCTGCAGTGTGTGGGGAGCCGACAGGAGGGCTTCGAGATCTTCACGGCCGGGGCCTGTCAGTGTGACATGTGCCGCCTTGCGCGCTACTAGCCCTTCCTTTCCCCTCCTCCTCCCCTTGGGCAGCACTCTGGGTATTCTGGTGGGAAAGACGCCTCTGGGGCCAGAGAACTCCAAGGAGTTGCAGCCTTGCCAGGAACTTGCTGTGGGGTTTTTCTAAAGGAGGGGCTTTGGCAGCTCTAACCCTTTAACCTCCTGAGAAGAGAGGGGTTTGCCCCTTCCCGGTCTCTGCCTGGCCCTTCTGCCCAGTCTTCCTGCTTCCCCCTTTGCTCCTCCCCAGCTAAATAAAGCCAGCAGTTCAAGTCTGTCTCTTTATTGAGTCCACCCCAGCCAGGGGAAGGCAGCTAGACCATGATTACTGTGACCCCCCTGCCCCAGGACACTGGGAATCTCTTCTTGCCTGTCTGTGCCCTCACCCCTCCCCCTGCCCAATAAATAAAAAGGGGACGCGGACATACAGGGCGAGGGAGGGGAGGGAGAGAGGATGCCCCAGGCCCAGGACCGTGTCTGTGGTAGGGGTAAGTGGGACAGAATAAATAGACCATGGATCCCATGGTGGGGTGAGGAGGACCTCGCGCTGGCACGAGGTAGGGGCAGGCACAGGGAGGAGCCCCTCGCCCGGGGCCGGGAGCAGGACCAGGAACCTGCCTGCAGCTGTCTGGAGCCCAGCTTTGCGAGCAGGGCGGATCCCTGATGGCAGCTTCCTGGTCAAGCTTGTCCTGGTCAAGTCCCGCCACAAGGGCCTTTGAGTTCCATTGCCAAGACCACCATCTCTTCTCCTCCTCTCCTCCCAGTGAAAGCTTGCCCTCTCGGGCCAGGCAGGGTGTCCTCAGAGCCCATCTGCCCAGGCCAGGGGTACGTGTGTGTCTCTGGGCCCCTGGGCAGGAGAAGGGATGGAGGGACTGGTAGCTCAGGGCTTCGCTCTCTTCTGTGGGGATGTCTAGCTCTGACCCCCACTGGCAGCCACCTGTGGTGTAAGCCGCTGGAGGGGGGCCTCCTTGGCCCCTTGGGCACCCTGTAACCGGCGTAGCCGTAGCTCCTCCAGACCTTGCCACAGTTCCTGGCGCTCACGGGCCTTCTCCTGCTCCCTGGGGAGAGAGGGTGAGGCAACCGCTGTCCTGGGCCCCGCCTGCAGGCCAGCCTCCCTCACCACCAGCCCCCAGCTGAAGAGGGAAAGGCAGGAACTGTGCCTCCTAAGGGGCCTTCACTGCGGGCAGAGAGCGCCAAGGAGAGGTGACCCCAGCCTGCAGCATGGGTGAAGGGAGCACCACTGCTACAGGGGGTCGGAAGAACTACGTGAAAGGATTCTCTGAGGATGTGGCAGGAACAGGAGGGAGAGACTTGAAACGTCTGATCAGGTGGGGCCTGGGGGAGTCCTCTAGGGTTTCCTGAAACCTTCCTGCTCCTTCCCTCTCCCCCTACCCAGCCCTGACACTCACTGCTGCTTTTCCAGCTTGTAGGAGGCTGTGAGCTCATCAAACAGTTTGCCATTCATTTCCATGAAGGTCTTGAGCACGTTGTAGATCAGAGAGACAATGGTTCTGGGCAGGGTCAAGAGAGGAATAAGGGGATAAGAGCAACTTCAATTTGCCCCCACTCACTCGTCTCAACTGCCTTCTTGCCGACTAGCCCGGAACCCAACAAGCATTACCCTCTCCCTGCCCTTTTCACCAATGCCTCGACCACCTTCAGACGCCTTTCCTACCCTCTCCAGCTGTGGGTAAGCCGGGATCCTGGCTGGCCTGCCCTGGTCCCAGTCTCTGTGGGTTAGGTCAAGCCCTGGCACTCACTGATTCCAGTGCTCCTTGGAGACCTGGTAGAGGGTCCCAAACACAGCAGGCAGCACAGTGTGGCAGTTGTCCTCAATGAGGCTCAGGATATACTCGTTGTTCCAGAAGTACAGAGCCCGCTCTGCAACCTGGGCCAAGCAAGACAACAGAGGGAGAGCCTGGCAGTAGCTTCTCTGTGTGCATAAGGTCGCTGTCCACCCTTCACCCCAAAACCCAGGGCTCCCTATCCCCTCCCGCATCCTCAGGACTCATCTGAGCCCTGGAACCTTCAGAGGCAAATCCTAGCTCCACTGCAGACTGGCCACACAACACTGGGCAAGGCATTTAACCTCTTAGTCTCAAGCTGTCTCTAAGCTGGGGCCAATTCTGCCTAGCTCCACAGGGCTGTTGCAAGTATCCAACGAGACACTGGGCCTTGTGGGGTTCAATAAAGTACTGGACTAGAGTTACTGTGAGGAAGGGCTGACTTCCACCAAGTTATGCCTCCTAAGAACAGGAGAAGGTCTGCACATATATGCAGGGGACCATGGGTAGCAGCCAGCCTGGACGGTGTGGGAAGCCTGGCCAGCCCTGAAGTGGGACAAGTAAAATTTAAGGGCCGTTAGGAAAAGGGGAAAAGTGGTAACACACCCACCCCATTCTGAAGCATATTCCTACTTATCAAACACACTTACACTCACGATCTCTTCCACCCCCGCCGCCACCCTGGGAAGAGATCATTGTTGGCCCATGTTATAGACGAGGAAGGCTAATCAGACTCAGAGGGGTGAAGTGACTTGCCCAAGTTCCCTCAGCCAGTGGGTGGCAGACCTGAAGCTCAACCCTAGGTCCCCTGACCCCCAGTTCAGCGTCTCCCCATTGTTAGGCCCACCAGAGGAAAAGCTGAGAGCAGACGGAGCTGTGTTAGGTCAACCAGCCACCCTTCCCTGGCCATACGCCGCCTTCCATCCCCTCCTGTCCTTGCCGCATACCTGGAAATGGGGGCTGGAGACACAGCGAGCCACCTGCTTGAAGAGGGGCTCCTGGATCTTCACGAACTGGGAGGGCTCAATGACATCGAGAATTTCTTCCATCTCCCCCAGAAACATCACCTGGTGGGAGAGGTGAGGGCAGAGGCACAGCGCTCACATCCCGCCCACACAGATACACACGCACACCTGACTGCCCTCTAAACGCTGGGCCCTCCAACCCCCTCTGGTGGGCATCAGAGCCCTTCCCCATACCTCCTTCTGGGTGCAGGTTTTGGGCCAATACTTGAGCAGTCCCCGGATTACCTATGAGGGTTGAGGCAGAAGGGAGTCAGACCTGCAGAGGTGGGGGCCCACCTTCCCCCCCTCCCAGAGGTACTCACGTGTTCTGTCAGGGTGGCATCCTTCTCCAGGAACTGAACCACACAATATGCCAGCTGCAGGGTGGGGGTGGGGGGAGAAAGAAGACTGGGGTCAGGGAGGACCAGGGCCCAGGACTGGCCACCCAGGATGGGCCCAGGTGAGGGCTCAGGTCAGGGAGGACCAGGGCCAAGGACTGGCCACGCAGGACGGGCCCAGGTGAGGGCTCAGGTCAGGGAGGACCAGGGCCAAGGACTGGCCACCCAGGACGGGCCCAGACGAGGGCCCGTGTGCTGTCTTGTATGCTCTGATTCACCAGCCTTTTCTGAGCACCTAGGATGGACCAGCAATGTGCTCAGCGTGCTGGGAATACAACAGTGAGCCCACGGGAAACCCTCAGCAAATTCTCGTCAACGTCGCACGAAGTTTCGTTGTAGAATCCAACGTCCCAATCTATGGGACTAGAAGAGAAGAGTTTTATTCTGCTAGGGCAGGTAGGGAGGGAGGGGCTGGGGAAGGCCTCACAGAGCTGCTATCTGAGATCAGCCTTGAAGGGTCAGTGGGGACCTTCTAAGGGAGATGGACCAGCATCAGTGAAGGAATCGACAGTGGGAGAGGATCCCGTGAGTCGGTGACTGAGTGTGGCTGGTGCCTGGGTGTGGGGGAGCCTGAGAGTCAGGCTAGCCTGCCGGGCCCCACACAGCTGCCTGCCCTTGTGCGGAGCTGCCTGCTGGCAAAGCCAGGCCTGGGCCTAACCTGGGCATGAAAGACAGACAGCGACTTGACGGAGTGCAGGGGGATCAGGACCCGGACCAGAAACTGCTTGTGCTCTGTCTTCAGCGGCAGCGCAAAGCCGTTGATGATGCTGAGGAGTGGGCAGAAGAGGGAAGATGGGCTCAGGGGACTGGGCCCCCATCCCTCCTCCCAGAACCCAGAAGCACCAGCTCAAGCCCAGGGAAAATCACCTTCCCAAGATCTCCAGCAACTCGGCCACGCCATTGAAGTGCTCAAGCTCATAGATGAACCTGCAGAGAGGAAGAGGAGATTGAAGAAGGGATTCGAGCAATCAGGTTGGCCCGGCCCCTCTCAGCCATCCTGCCCGCCCACCCCTCCCTCAGGCTAATCCCGCTCTCCGCCAACCCAGTGCCCAAACCAGGCCCCACTAATCTCCATACCCACTTCTGAAACACCCTTCTCTGCCCAGCCACCGTCTGCCACTCTGTGTCCCAACTCAAACCTCCCTTCTAGGAAGCACCCCAGCTCATCACCTAACCCCTCACTACCTGCTACCCACCCAATCAGCAGGCCTTAGCCTACATCCTCCACTCCTCTTGCCAGTCAAACAGAAGAATGACAGACACTTAGCACATCTATTCTACCATAAATTCTCAAATTGATCCCAGGAGGCAGGGTATATTAGACTCGTGAAAAGAACACAGTTGACATCAAGTCGACTCCGACTCATGGCGACCCTGTGTGTGTCAGGGTAAAGCTGTGCGCCATAGGATTTTCAGTGGCTGATTTTTTTGGAAGTAGATCACCAGGCCTTTCTTCTGAGGCACCTCTGGGTGAACACAAACTGCCAACTTTTTGGTTAGCATCAAGCATGTTAACCATTTGCTATCACCCAGGGACTCCTGGACCCACTACACAGATGAAGAAATTGAGGCTTAGAGCTTAAATGAAAGTGGTTTACACTCAAATGAAACTTGCCTCAAAGTTAATAAGTCGAGAACTGAATGGACTACGAGCTTCTGGAGGCCAGGGATCATGTCTCACCTATTCTGTGACTAATAATGACATGAGCTAATGTGAGAGTCCCAGCCTCAGTGCAGGAGCTAAAGTGAGTGCTTTGGAGGCCTCCCCTCATTTCATCTTGACAGCTGTGCTTGAGTTAGCATGAGCATTATCCCCATTCAAGATGAGGAACTAGGAGAGAGC